GGATCGTCAGTGCAAAACATCGGATCCAGAGGTTGTAAGGAGGGAGGCCGCGGGGGTGGCGGTAGCAGAAATTCCGGAGGAGGACCGGGACATTCGCAGTCGGCGGCGGCGTCAATAACGTCCCACATCGTAGCGTCCTCTGGACTTGGAGGATTGCTGGAAACCGCCTCTGCGATTTCCATAGACTCTTTCTATCTCTGGAAGCACACGAAAACAAAACACATTATTCCAGAAAGGTGCTCCGCTTACCTACAGATCTAAATGTTTATTTGCAACCAACACTCATGTGAGAGAACAAGGAGGCGTCCATTCAATGCACATTTTCCTCTTGATTGAGTTTTCTTGCTAAACATTAATAAACTCTGCAAGAAATGCCCTCAACAGTAAGGCAAAAAAGTGAAACGTATGGAAGGGGGCTTCATTTAAACTTATTGGCCTTTTCAATGCACTTATTTAACGCAAAAATTAACATGCATCCATTCCGTCTCAAACTTTCCATTTGAAAACTGGTCAAAAAGTTCCTGCTCATGGCAGAAAATTGAACTTGTGGCGTTTCTATTTGCAATCAGTGTGAAAAACCTAATTTAAAAATTCGGTCCTTTCGGTCAAAAAACTGTCTCCGAAAAAGCTTCAAATGCGCTTTGTGTAACAAATCGGCAAAAATTTCCTGATTTTACCATAAAATTGAAACCATTATCAATCACAAACCAACAATTTCTCCATTTAATGCGACAACTGTTTTTGCTTCCACCTAATTCGGACAAAGAATTCTTAATACGTAATCTTTTAGAACTGGTCTTGCCAAAAAATCAAGTCAAGAATTCCCTGCTTACGTTGGAAAAATGAAACTTTCGTCAATTGTGAACCGATAATTTCTCTATTTAATTCGAAAACTAGTTTAGATTTAAATTGAGTTCAGAGAAATTGCTTTTTAACTGGTGTTTGAAAACAAATGGCTTCGAAATAGCTTTCATTTGAAAATTCGCGGAATATTTCCTGTTTACGGCAGAAAAATTTAATTTTTCCAGTCATGAATAGGAGTTTTTCCTATTTATTGCAAAAACTGGCACGATTCTGGTTTCACCGAGTTCGGAGATATCAATTTTTTTAAACTGGTCTCTGAAAACAAAAATGACTTTTGTTTGAAAATTCGCAAAAAATTCCCTGCTTACGGCAACAAAATGAAACTCTCTCAACTTATGTATCAATCGAGGTTTTCCCTATTTAATGCAAAAACTGCCATGTTTTCAGCTCCACTCATTTCAGAGGTATCAATTTTTTAAAACTGAGCTTTGAAATGGCTGTCATCCAAAAATCTTTTATTTCAAAATTCGGCAGAAATGTTTCTGCTCACGCCAGAAAAGTGAATCTTTCGTCTCTTAAGGACCCGGAGTTTTTTTATTTAATGCAAAAACTGTCATGTTTTCAGTTTCACTCATTTCAGAGCTATCAATTTTTTTTTCTTTAAAAAAAACTGGCTTCCAAAAAGCTTTTATTTTAAAATTTACCAAAACTTTTTTGCTCACGCCAGAAAAATTAATCTTTTGCCACATAAGAATCCGGAGTTTTTCCTATTTAATGCAAAAACCACCGAGTTCTTCGCAGTTAATTTTTTTTTATATTTGGCCTTTAAAAAAAAATAGGTGGAAAAATGACTTCGGTCTGAAAATTCGTCAATACTTCCCAGCTTATGGGAAAAAAAATGAAACGTTCTCTGCTTATGAACCGACGTTTTCCCTATTTAATGCAAAAACTGCCATGTTTCCAGTTCCACTCGTTTCAGAGCTATCAATTTTTTTAAACTGGCTTTTGAAAAAACTGGCTTCCAAAAAGCTTTTATTTAATGCAAAAACCACCAACGAGTTCTTCGGAGTTAAATTTGTTTATATTTGGCGTTCGAAAAAAAAATGACTTCGGTCTGAAAATTCGTCAAAAATTCCCTGCTTATGGGGAAAAAAAGAAACTTTCTCTGCTTATGAACCGATGTTTTCCCTATTTCATGCAAAAATTGCCATGTTTCCTGTTCCACTCGTTTCAGAACTATCAATTTTTTTAAACTGGCCTTTGAAAGAACTGGCTTCCAAAGAGCTTTTATTTAAAAATTCGCCAAAACTTTTTGCTCACGCCAGAAAAAATAATCTTTTGCCACTTAAGAACCCGGAGGTTTTCCCATTTAATGCAAAAACCATCATCGAGTTCTTCGGAGTTAACAAATTTTTATAATTGGTCTTTGAAAAAGTTTAAAAAATGACTTGCTCTTAAAATTTGCCAGTGCCAAAGAAAGAAAACTTTCCCCACTTATAAATCGGGGTTTTTCCTATCTAATGCAAAAACTGTCCCGTTTCTGAAGTAAATCTGTGTCATAATCGATTAAAACAGGAAGTGCTTCGCAGCTTTAACCAAATCCACACATATGACCTTTTCTCACTCAAGCAGTTCGGTGTTAATGGCAAAATCTGTTCCCCTCTGGAATTCAAAGGAAAACATTTTGCCCAAACAGGAAGTTTATCCCAACACAATCCTCCGTCACTTATGTAAACAGGTATCATTCCTTTCGCGAGTTGGTTCAACAGTGTATCAGATTTCTTGGGCCTCAGTCCCTCAGGCATTTTAACCTGATTTCTTTCCAACGATTTTGCTCCAAAACAGGAAATACGCTCAAATCACTTGTTAAAAGCTCAAGATTAAGCTAAATCTTGTTTAAAGTAGCATGAGTGGGAGAAGGCGTATGCTACAAAAGCGTGTGGGGGAAAAGGATGATACATATTTAGAGCAGGCCAGAGTAGGATTTGCTCCTTGTTCCACTCATCGTGAAAATGGATAATGTGTAGATTCGACAATTATTTGTGCATATCAAGTGTTTTTCAAATAGTTTCTGGCCTTGGGTCACACGTATAATAAAAAAACTTTGCACGAAATAAAATGAAAATGATACCACATGTCACAATTTGCTAATTGAACAATTCGCAAAAATATGATTTTGTTGCATCAAAACCCATCTATTAAATTAAAATTTTCATTTACAGCTCCCGATTAAAGAGTGCGAGCGGAAGTGTGGTTGTGTGTATTAGAAGGAGAAGGAACAACGCAACCCTTTCTTTTTAATACACGCATCTGGTCAACTGCCTTGTTCCACTCATTGCAACTCTCTTCAAGTGCTTCCATCGGATTAAGGTTTAAAAAATAGCCGCCTTGCGATACGAAATATATACTTTTTCAATTCTGTTAGAAAAATTTGGGTTTCTTGACGTGAATCCATACATTTTCATGATTTTAAAATCAAGGACCATCGGAGATTGGTTGCCAGCTATTGTTGGCATAACGACTAATTTTCCGAAAATTTGCCAAGTTTTACGAACTTTGCACGAAGATGCGTTGATGAAAAATGCTTGAAATGCAGCACAAAAAAACACCGATTCTCTTCCCATAGTGAAGCTCAATTGATCGTCTTAGTACAATCGAAACTGGCAATTTTTAACGCTTTCTTAAGACATTTCTGCGCTTTTAAAGTGCAAGTTCTTCCGGACTAGGAAATCATCAATGAAGTGAAATTTCCAACAAAAAAAATAATGGAATAGCAACAAAGCAAGTAAGGAAATCGATTTTCCATTAGCTTTGCTTGAACACATCGTAACAAATCGCCTGTTGTAAACCTGCTCATGTTACATCGTCAGCACATTCATAAAGTGTCTGGAAGCTGAATTTTCAGGTAGATAAACCAATTAATAAATCGATGGCCCGTTCGAGATAAATCCATTTAATTAACTGATGGCTGTATTTATTGCCTTTGTAATCCGACACGATAATTATCGGGAACTTGTGTAAATAAATAGTGCACTAAACGGGCCGCTGTTTCTGCAGATTGGCTTTGTTTCAGCTTCAGGTTTCAATTTCCCAGTTTGCAAAAATTTCCCAAAAACTTGCACGCGCTAATCGAAATTGAACTGTAACGAAACAGTTTAATGGACTTTCCCATTGAAAGCCTGGCTATATCGCAATCGAATAAATATTGATTTTTTCCTATCGTTTGTTAGGGTTTACTTTACACTTACGTTGACATGTTTGGATGGTACGTCCTGCAATAAATACGTTTCAACTCGTTGCCTTTGTATAACATTGCCAAAAATAACCGTGAATGTTTTGCAATCGAATTAAAATTACTGAATAATTTCGCATTAGGCCGCGTAGCTTTTCCCAATTGAAACGAATAGAGCGTCAAACCAACAGGCATTGAAAAATCGAAAAACTAATTACATTCGTCGACAGGCATTTTATTGAGAATTATTAAAAATCGGGGTTTTAACTGAATTTCGGCAATAGAAAACATTCTGTTCTCATCGTCTGGCTGAAGACACAAAAATACTGTTCAGACCGTAATGAATTGACTTTGTCAAAGACGATCCAATAAAATTGGAAATGGAATTACCAGAGAGCTGGTTTGATAAACAAACGAGAGCGCGAGGAAATCAAGAAAAGTTCGAAATTCCTTTATGTAAACATGGCCCAGGAATGATCTGAGGCCATATTTCGTATAAGGAGCCGGAAGATTTCTTTATTTTATATATTCCCTAATAAAAGTCTCTGAGGGCCCGAATATAAATGCGAAGGTACATATAGATATCGTCCCAGTAAAGGCAGATATTTATTTTCGAAATATTCCCGGTTTTATTTTCAGCTTTTCCGATTATTCGTTTAGCCCGATCCGGATCGAAGAAGGACCTAAAAACGGGAACGGTAAATAAAATATCAAGAAGTAACGCACAAGTCGTGTCAAATAAAAATGAAGGATCGAACTGGCAAATGGGATTTTAAATATTTAAGTATGCGATCAGTTAGCCATAGATAGATCCAGGCCCAAAAGGTTTCCCATACTCTGTGTATCTCTAATGCGCCAGATTTCAGCGAAAAGATAACGCAACAGCGGTTCATTTTTGCAAATTGAGAGCGCACAATTTCTTGTTATCGGAAAACCTTGCATATTCCATGTTCAAACAAGTTAACGCCATAAATTCAACGGCCCGAAGACCGTTTACACAGGAAGTTATTTATGTTGATTAAGTGATTTCATTTTATGCAGCTACTGATTCAATTTACCTAACGAAACTGTTATTGATGATCGTTTCACATTCACAGCTCTAAGTGGATTGTGGAACACATTTTTAAAACACATAAATTCGTGTATTTTTAGTGCCCGACTTTACTAGATATGATTGAAGTTAGCAGAAGAGTTCAGGCTCTTGAAGGGTCTGCGAATGTGGACGAATGTTGGCACCAGGATTTAAACACGAAAAACACTATAAACTTCTGCTTTGCTTAATTAAAAGCCCCCGCTGTTGTTGCAGTGTTCATCCAGACACCAATTTGTAGATGGATTAAGAAACATTGCGCAAGTTAATCGGGAACAGACAATGTTGAAACAATCCGAATGGAATTAATGTCGAACTAACCGAGTCGCAATTCGCAACATGACACACTTCAGTGTGCATACATGCATGGGAACATGGTTCGATACATGCTTAGCTCTAATTATCTCCGGAGAAAATTTACTCGCGCTCTAATAGGAAGTGGAGTTGAGCGCGGGCATTTATGAAATACCATCCTTGGGGGCTTGAAGCTGGCAAAAGCAAATTTTAGCCGCCTAATGCTGTTCTTGAACTGTTCGAAACTTTCGGAAGCGAATTTTACCTAATTTCATCAACAGGTTAAAGTGCATGATAAATCACAGCTTCCAGCCATAAATTCGCTAATAATTTAGTACATGCGAGAGTAAGTAGTTAGTAAAATGATCGCTCTCAGCTTCTTGGTAGACCTGGGCAACACTGTGTTCAGTTGCGCTTTTGAGTTGATGAGTTATAACTCAGCGCGCCTCACTGCGCGGTACCTCGAATTGCGCTTGTGGCGAAATAGTTCTTTAAATCATAAGTTTCAAAGGACATTTTTAATTAGTTGAAAATCGTTAGTTTATATCATTGCTCGGAAATTGAATAATTCATTTTTAAGTGATTTCGTGGCGGTTTTTTTGTATAGTCAATATTTTTACAAAAACAGAATAAATTTCGAAATTAATTTTAGTTATGGCGTTGTATATTAATCGCTGCAGCTGAGTGAAATTCAGACAAATATAAATGGGTCTAAATTTTAAATTCAGTTAGTGAAAGATCAGCACATGGAGCGTGATATATGGGTAGAACATGGAGGATAGGGCGCCAGCATGCAGAAGCTGGTAAAAATGATCTTTAATCTATAAATCTTTTAGCTTGAACTGAGCTTAGATTTCCGACAAGCCACTCAAGTTTTATGGATTCTTTATATTTCTTTCACTCTGCTTTGCTGATTTCAAATAAGTTTGGTTTTGGACAGATTTTCTGCTATACTAAACACATTTTCTTCTTTCTTTCCAGGTGGCACTACGCAGTTTTTGGTAAGCTTACCATTACTTTGCCCCTGATTTCCATGTACATGTAGAACTTTTAGTATAGATATATAGATTTCCATCTACATCTTTGTATTTTTTATATCGAGCTCATCTGAAGCATTTCGCTAAAGAACTGCTTCAAATATGGCAAATTGGGTTCCAGTTTTCAATAAAAGGAGCATCGGCTTACTGGCAGTGTGGATTTGGCTCCGATTAAACCATTGATTTATTCACAAGAAATTTTTAAACTTTGGGAATATTTTGGGCGGCTTTGTATTTTTACAACAAGCTCACCTGAAGCTTGTCTCCAAAGAAGCGTTTCGGATATGCAAATATGGGTTCCACTTTGACGTTTTCTCTTAAAAGAAGTCAAAAGTTTTAGTTTTGCCTGTTTTTTTTTGCGATTGCGATTTTGAAGGGTGTGTTTTTCAAAGAGTTCGTTGCATTCCTAATTTCCTTCATATCACAATGGTGTGTAGGCATTTTGAGAAAATTTATAGTTTGTAGTAAAAAATCGACCGCCAGCCTTTCAAAATTTTCGACAAAAAATCAAAATTTCACATACATGCGTGTTTTTTGTGCTCAATCGATTTCTTTCGCCTGAGGGAGCTCGCAAAAGTGCATTTGTAAAGTGCTTGTATCCATAATATGGACAAAATCGTCGGTTAAAGATCGTGAATACTCAAAAAACGCGTAAAATGTACCGAAAATATCGATTATTTCGGAACTGAAACTTCTGGGGAATTTTTTATGCTGTAAATTTCAAGGCATTTTGAGAAAAAACATATTTTTTTCCACCACACTTGGGAAACGTTCGGTAAAAAAAAATTGACATGCGTGTTTTTTGCGTTCAATCGGTTCTTTTCGCCTTAAGAAGCCTGCAAGGTGCATTTAGAAAGTGTTTGGTTCAATAATAAGGAATAAATCGTCGGTTAAAAAACGGCTAAAATCTACCGAAAATATCGATTATTTCGGAACTGAAAGCACTGGCGTGATTTTCAGAGTTCGTTGTATTCCTCGCTTCCTTGAGATCACAATAATGTAGATTTCAAGACATTTTGAGAAAATTTATATTTTCTAACAAATAAATTTTTCGGCAAAACATCAAAATTTCACTTGCGTGTTTTTTGCGTTCAATCGATTCCTTTCGCCTTAAGAAGCACGCAAAAGTGCATTTGTAAAGTG